ATATAATATACAACATTACCACATTTATGATTAAAGTTTCAGAGGACTTTGGAATCACCACACTGACAAAACTTCTCAACAACATGTATGACACTGGACATATTCGATCAGACTTGTCAAAAATCTATCTTCATAGTTTTACCAAAGAAACCTAATGCAATAAATGAATGTGAAACTCATCTTACCATCAGTCTCATGAGCCATGTAAGAGAGTGACAACATGGGCCTAAGCCTAAACATCAAGAAAATTGAAGCAATGGTGATAAGTAGAAAAAACTCCAACCCCAACCTGCAATATCAAAATCAATGATACCACCTTCAAGCAAGTACAACATGTTAAAAAGAGACAAAAATAAACTTAATAATAAAATTATTAACTTAATTGGATAAGGTTCTAGAGTTTCTGTCTTCTATCTGAAACTACTCGAGAATCACGTATAGTTGTTGTAATTCTATGCAGTGCGTTTTATAAAACGTGGAATATATTCATGTTAAAAATCACAGGGTGTGATGGTTGGCATGGGACAGAAGGACAGCTATGTCGGTGACGAGGCCCAGTCCAAGAGAGGAATCCTGACCCTCAAGTACCCCATTGAGCACGGCGTTGTCACCAACTGGGACGACATGGAGAAGATCTGGCACCACACGTTTTACAACGAGCTCAGAGTGGCCCCAGAGGAACACCCGGTTCTCCTCACTGAAGCTCCACTCAACCCAAAAGCCAACAGGTAATTAAATCTTCTTCAGAATTCCTTCGTCTCTCCTTGCGCCAACTAATCATTATCCTCCTCCTCCTTCTCCTCCTCAAATACATCTTACGCGTATACATGTTTATACTCCTCATCATCACCAGACTCCTCCTCCTTCTTCTCCCTCTTGTCTGCTCCTTAAATTCATTACTATATGATGTAATGTTTTCCTCACTTCCTTTCCTTAACCCAATCTCCATCCTCCAACTTTCACCCCCTCTTTTTCCTTCTCTTCCTCCCCCTCCCCCTCCTCGTCAATGATGTCATTAAAGTTATCAATATGAGGTAAACTGCACAAATGAAGAATGGAGCTTCAAACGTTTACTTAAAATCAATTCGTTTTGAAAGATTTGTCGATATAAAAAAAAACAGAGGTCATTTTTTTTCTTTCACACAAAATTGTCAATTTCCTCCCACAGGGAAAAGATGACCCAAATCATGTTCGAAACCTTCAACAGTCCAGCGATGTACATTTCGATTCAGGCAGTATTGTCACTCTACGCTTCTGGCAGAACTACAGGTAAGCAATGTGTATTGTTGTGTTTTTTGTTTGTTTTGTTTTTTGTTTGGTTTTGTATGCATCTGACAACGCCTTTATGAGCTTATGGCACTAAATAGACCCAGTGAATAGTAGCACGAGGCGTAACCGCTAACACGAAAGCATCAGTTGTGATATGCATGCACTGTATGTGTGATATATTTACTTAGGCGTATCTTCTGTCTATTTTCCTTTCTTTCCTCTTCTGTTCTCCAGCCGCTTGGTCAAGTGCTCCAACTTTAAAACGATCCGGTTGTGTAGATAGGGCGTACCCCCACTCACCCGCAAAACCACATGCACGCACACACAAACACACACGCACACACACACACACACACACACACACACAC